TAAACTATGAATCCTTTAGCCCCTTATCAAACATTAGACTTACCAACAGTCCTCTAAACTATGAATCCTTTAGCCCCTTATCAAACATTAGACTTACCAACAGCCCTCTAAACTATGAATCCTTTAGCCCCTTATTAAACATTAGACTTACCAACAGCCCTCTAAACTATGAATCCTTTACCCCCTTATTAAACATTAGACTTACCAACAGTCCTCTAAACTATAAATCCTTTAGCCCCTTATCAAACATTAGACTTACCAACAGCCCTCTAAACTATGAATCCTTTAGCCCCTTATTAAACATTAGACTTACCAACAGTCCTCTAAACTATGAATCCTTTAGCCCCTTATCAAACATTAGACTTACCAACAGCCCTCTAAACTATGAATCCTTTAGCCCCTTATTAAACATTAGACTTACCAACAGTCCTCTAAACTATGAATCCTTTAGCCCCTTATCAAACATTAGACTTACCAACAGCCCTCTAAACTATGAATCCTTTAGCCCCTTATTAAACATTAGACTTACCAACAGTCCTCTAAACTATGAATCCTTTAGCCCCTTATCAAACATTAGACTTACCAACAGCCCTCTAAACTATGAATCCTTTAGCCCCTTATTAAACATTAGACTTACCAACAGTCCTCTAAACTATGAATCCTTTAGCCCCTTATCAAACATTAGACTTACCAACAGCCCTCTAAACTATGAATCCTTTAGCCCCTTATTAAACATTAGACTTACCAACAGTCCTCTAAACTATGAATCCTTTAGCCCCTTATCAAACATTAGACTTACCAACAGCCCTCTAAACTATGAATCCTTTAGCCCCTTATTAAACATTAGACTTACCAACAGTCCTCTAAACTATGAATCCTTTAGCCCCTTATCAAACATTAGACTTACCAACAGCCCTCTAAACTATGAATCCTTTAGCCCCTTATTAAACATTAGACTTACCAACAGTCCTCTAAACTATGAATCCTTTAGCCCCGTATCAAACATTAGACTTACCAACAGCCCTCTAAACTATGAATCCTTTAGCCCCTTATCAAACATTAGACTTACCAACAGCCCTCTAAACTATGAATCCGTAGTCATTTATAAATCAGTAGACTCACCAACAGCAAAGTAGATTATGGCAGATGTGATGATTACAGGAAACAGTCTCAATGGTAATATATCAAAAATAATTTTGACCAGGAAGTAGACAGAGACTCTGTAGAATCCACTGATACTTTCATGCCTGTGGACATAGTTAGATGGACACAATGCCTTCATGCTTGTGGACATAGTAAGATGGACATAATGCCTTCATGCTTGTGGACATAGTTAGATGGACACAATGCCTTCATGCTTGTGGACATAGTTAGATGGACACAATGCCTTCATGCTTTTGGACATAGTTAGATGGACACAATGCCTTCATGCTTGTGGACATATTTAGATGGACACAATGCCTTCATGCTTGTGGACATATTTAGATGGACACAATGCCTTCATGCCTGTGGACATAGTTAGATGGACACAATGCCTTCATGCCTGTGGACATAGTTAGATGGGCACAATGCCTTCATGCTTGTGGACATAGTTAGATGGACACAATGCCTTCATGCCTGTGGACACTTATTGACAAAATATTTTCACGCCCATTGGCAAGGTGAGAAAATTGATAACAGTTGCGCTCTTTCACAATGAATGGAAAATGCAAATATAAATGTGAGAAGATGTGAACTCTGGGCATCGGTATGAAAAAGCTGCGTTTCTCCCCCTCCCTTGGGAACCACTGACCAAATGGACACAGTAAATCTTAATATTCTTACATGAAATTTTTTCTTTCGTCTGTGAACACCTGCAGGGCTGTTAAGTTGAGGAAGAGTTCTTTAAAGACGGCTAGGAACATAACACCAGATCTGATGAGGTGGTCAACACATTGAAGCAGATTAAAATAAATTTTAAACAATACATAATTTAGAAGAAGACCAAAAGAAAACAAACTAGAGTTTGAGCTCACTTATGAGAAACGCTCTAATGATGGTAACCTAAGTGTGGTTCTGCTATAGAATTTATACTTAAAGTGTACATCAAACATTATTAGATACTAATTTATTATTTGTAAAAGAAAATGTTAAGTCTTTTTTAAAAATTATAGCGCATGTCAAAGCATACGTATATCTAAAATATCATTCTTATTTTATTATAGATCTATTATAATATGTTAATATATTTCTTTGCTAACAAAAGTTAATGAAGCAAGCACCAAAAGTAGCAATACTAAAACTCTCGCTTGAGAAACGCGTTAGTCGAATGGGCATAGCTCCAAATGTAGCGTACTTCTAGTATTGAAAAGAAAGATACTTTGGACATGTGTAATTGGGAACAGCGTTTTGGAGCGATGCTCGGAGCTCTGGAGCAGGTTTAATATACAGGCGCTAGAGTGGAGGTGGATCTGTTACAATGTATTATTGCTCTAATGTCACAATTTAATATATATATATATATATATATATATATATATATATATATATATATATATAATATATAATGTTATTTTTTTGTGTG